ACTAATAAGTGCTGGAAGTAGAACACGAACCTAGTCTTCCCTTGATTCTCATTCAACACACCGAAAAAGAACTCCATTGTTCAGTGGTATATTTAAGTGAGAACTGAAGGCTATCTCTGTAGGATTTATCCTTCTATTTTCATGTAAAATATAAATTCTCAGTAAGTGAATGAACCCAAATGATGACTTAGATTTGCTCCACCAATGAGGACTGCACTTGTTAAATTGCGATATGCTACACCAAAGGATAGCACAGAGATTGATTCCTGACTCCAACTTGGTATAATCAGTCATGAAATATTTTCTTAAGCTTCGTTAACTTTAAAACAAATGGTCTTTGATTTTTCTTTTTAATTAAGTGATCCTTCTACCCCCTAGCAGAAAATGAGTATAAATCTTGTATTTTACTAAAATCTTATTCAAAAGGAACCCTTGAGCCTGATGAATAAAGCATTATAAGATGTGCATGTGTGTATTAATCCCACAACAGTTTTAAAAAATTATGAATGTTTTTCAAGTATCTGATAAAAGAAGTCAGACAAAGCAAAACAGACCAATTAAGCTCCTTCCATGCTGCTGTTTTCATTAACCACATAGAGCTCTATGTACCATCCCATCAGTGTTAATAATTTTCTTCTTTCTTTTCCTAACTTAGATGCCTTAAAGGAAGAAAGATTTTAAAACTGTAGTAATAGCTCATTTCTTCTTCCTTTTTCTCCCTTGTCTTCCCCCCCCACCTCCAATTTGGCTCTCCCTTTTCTTTTTTCCCTTTAGCTCTCCCTTTTCTCTCACATCTATTTACACGACCCTCAAATTATAATTTTCCAGCTCTTTACTTTCCCCCTACTTCATTTACAAAAGCTCCAGACTTAATGGTAATTCAACAGGACATTACAGAGTCGTTGAATAGGAAGCAGTCATTTAGTCTGGAAACTCCATTCCCAGCAATCCTCACTGCCTGGTAGCCCTTTTTCTTGTGTTCCATGATACAGTGGGCTAAGAATAGGATTTCTTATGTTCCTTTTTCCCCTTTGCCATTTCTCAGACCATTTCTCTGCCAGTCAATATCCCCTCCTTCTTCGAATTTCACACCATCAATGTATACCATCTGGTTCAGATCCTTGTTGCCATTATCTGGCCTCCAGGTTACTCCTTTCTTTTCCATTTCCCCAGATCTTCCTTTCTCAAGATGACTCCACCTGGCTCAGACTCTTTCTTCAAATCAACCTCTTTCCTTTCTTTACACTTGGGTACATTAATATATGGGTAGAAAGGTAGTACAATGGAGAGAGCACCAAGCCTGGAGCCAGGAATATCTGAGTTCAAATCCAGCCTTATGCACTTATTTAGTGTGACCCCAGGTGAATCACTTAACCACTATTTGCCTCAGTTCATTTGTAAAATGGGGACACACTGGAGAAGGAAATGGCAAACAACTCCAGTATCTTTGCCAAGAAAACCATGTAGAGTCAGACATGACTAACAACACATCTATCTATCTATCTATCTATCTATCTATCTATCTATCTATCTATCTATCTATCTATCTATCTATCTATCTATCTATCTACTAATAAGCACATATTGTTATGAACCCTCAAACATCCAGGTTTCTTAGTTCACCAACTTGTTCAACTTCTAAAATCTATAATTTTGCCCTATCTCAGGACACTTCCAGGAACCCCTGACAATTACCTATAACCTCCGTGATATTGGACTTTGAAATTATCATCTCTGATCATAATCTCCTGCTTTCTATCTCTTCCTCTGCTTCACTCCCCTAAAACCTTTTCTTTATTCTCAACCTCCAGTTCATCCTTCCTTTTCTATTGTACCAGTCCTGCTATCTTTCCTTTCTCAACATCTTGACTACATAATAAATACACTATCTTCCACCCTTTGCCTTTTATTCTACCATTCTCCATGTCATGCCAGTCCTGGATCACTTCCAACATCTAGTTCATCTGCCCTGTACCTTGTAAACTTGATACAATGCCATCCCATGCCATTCCACACCTTCCAGAAAGGAGCCCCATCATTCATTCTCTCTCATTTTCATTTTGCTTTGCCTTCAAAATACTCAGATTTACCCTAACCTTAAAAAAATCTTCATTTGACCTTGCCATTTCTTCAAGTACTACCTTATATCTTTTTTTTTCCCCTTTCAATGGCAAGCTCCCAGATATAACTGTCTATTGCTACCTCCACTTCCTCATTACCTACTCACTTTCCAGTCCTTTCTACTTTCCAACCACACCACCAAACAAACAAACAAAAAAGCCCCTGCTCTCTTCAAGATTAGGAATGCTCTCTTAACTGACGAATCTGATAGTTTATTCTTTTGGTCAGTTCTCATCCTCCTTGACCTCTCTTCTATCTTTGACATTGTTCCAAACCTCCTTCTGGACTCCTCCCTTGACTTCTGTGAAAAGGCTAACTTCTTGTATTTCCTCCTACCAGTAAGGCTTCCCCATGTTCCCTTTCCAACTTGTTGAATAATTATTGATTTCCTTTCCCTTTAGCATGGGTTTTACCTAGGGCTCTGTCCCAGATTCTCTTTTTTCACTCTCTACATTTGATCTCTTAGAAATCTCTTAACTTTTCATGGATACAAGTATCTTTGTAAGTCAGGAGCACCCAGATCTTTTCATATACATCCATACAAAATACATATATACAAACATGCATATATACATATGCATACAAATATACACATATACATATATGTAAACAGTCAAGCAATAATGTTTTACTGCTGGATATTTTTCCTTGATATTCATATCTAAAATGTAATATATCCAAATATATAATAAATCCAAAAGGTAGCTGATTAGGTTCCTCTAAACATACATTTTCCTTATACTTCATTATTTCCATTGAGGACATAACCATCCTTTTAGATATCCAGGTATAAAACCTTGGAGGCATCCTTGACTACCTCTATACAATTAATTGTCAAGTCTTGCCAACTCTTGTACCATAACATCTCTTGTATCTTCCTCCTTAAAAATAGTAAGAGACAGTATTTATATATCACTTTAAAGTTTGCAAAGCTATTTACTAATATTATCTTATTTAACCTCATAGCAATCTTGAGGGATAGGCAATATTATTATGATCACTATTTTGAAGCTGAGGAAATTGAGGAAGACAGAGGTTAAGCAACTTATCTAGGTCATACATATAGTAAAGGTCTCAGGCTTACTTAGGAAGACTCAGGTCATTCTACCACACTTTAGCCACTGACCTCATTATCTCTCATATATATACTCTTGTAATAACCTCCTATTTGGTGTATTTGTTTTGTCTTGGTATTCTATCCTCTCAATAATCTCAAATTTATATATATATATATAAACACACACACACACACATATATACACATATACATATGTATATATATCTACACACACATACATACACACATACATGTATATATCTACACATACATATCTACACACATATGTATATATATCTACACACATACATATATCTACACACATATGCATACACACATACATATATATCCACACACATACATATATATACATACACACACACATATATAAAATTTAGATCAGACAAGGAACTTAGAAGTCACTGAGTCCAAGTCTCTCACTTTATAGATAATGAAATTGAGGCATAGAGATTAAGTGAATGACTTAGTCACACAGCTAGGAAGTATCTGAGGTAGGATTTGAACTCAGGTCTTCTTGACTCCCAGTCCAGTGGCCTGTCTACTATGTTATGCTACTATTCCTGAATCACAGGACTGATTATGCCATTTCCCTACTCAAAAATCTCCAGTGGCTCCCTGGGATAAAGTATAAAACTTTGAGCTTGGCATTTAAGGCCCCACAAGCTGGCTTCCTACCCTAATATAATTTTATCTCCCTTTTCACATTCCAGCCAAATGGGACTTCCAACTGTTTTATTAATTCCATACCCCATTTCCCATTTCCCAATCTCTGCACAGTTTGCATCTCATGTCCATCATGTATGCCTTCCTTATTTCTGCCTCTAAGAATTCTTACCTTGCTTCAGAGTTCAACTCAGTGGTCATCTATTCTGTGAAACCATCTACAATTTCCCCATTATCTAATGCTCATTCTGTCCTGAATATTCCTTGTACAATACTTATTTTTGTATATGTTATAGCTCCCTAGTGCAGGGGTTCCTAAACATTTTGGGGTCATGATCCCCTTTGGCAATCTGGTAAAGCCTATAGACCTTTTCTCAAAATTATGTTAAGTGCATAAAATAAAATGAATAAGATCACAAAGAGAAACCAATCATACTGACACAGTTTTCAAATCTTTTAGTTAAGATTAAGAACAACTGCTCTAGTAGAATGTAAGCTCCTTGAAGGCAGGAATGGTTTCATTTTTGTCTCTGTATCTTCATTTTCTAGCTAACTGGGATATAAGAGCAATTTAATAAATATTTGCCTAATTGATTCTAGTCAAACCTAGAATCCCAGGATTACAAAATAACACAATCTCAGAAGTTGAAAGGTGACTTCAAAGGTCATCTAAACCAACCCATAGCTGAAAACAAAGTCTTCTGTCACATTTTTGACAAGAAGTCATCCAGCCTCTTTGGGCATAATTCCAGATTGCTCTCCAAAAAAGTTGGATCAGTTCACAATTCCACCAACGATGAATAGTTATGGGTAGCTAACTACCTCTCGAGGAAACCCATTCTACTTCGGGTTCTGCCATGAATAATTAACTCAGTAGCCCTATTGGGATGAGTCTATTCAAAGATGGAATATTTCAAACACAAAGCATCTATCGGACAGTAGTGGGTGAATTAATAAGAAGAATCACCACTACTGATTTTAATTTGTTTAAAGCCCACCCTTGGGTTTGTGAGTAGTATTTATATCTGAGCGTCAAGCCCTCACAAGATGTGTCTGTCTGCCCTTCATGTGAGTAGCCCCGCCGTGCTCAGGATTGTGGAGTTCCCTCAGAATGGGAGCTCTGGAATGCTTTGCTTACCCCTCCAGGGAGATGGCTCGCTGCAGAGTCATTGAGGGCTGACGAGTCGTAGTGCTGTGCTGAGAGTGACTGTATGGAAAAAGAAAGGAGGGTGAAACCCACAAAAAAAAAATCTGATGAAAGCATCTTCACACATTCTACTTTCTGCTGTTATCATAAATGAAAGGGCAAGGACTTCACGTAACAAAATACCCACTGATATTTCTCCAGAGAGTGCTTTAAGGTTTGCAAAACACTTTCTTCCCATAAATCCTGTGAGGTGGGTAGTATAAACATTATTTGTTCAGTTTTACAGATCACAAGGGCATAAATTTGAAGATGGAAGGGACCCTAGAGAACCCTTCCCTCATTTTACTGATGGAGGAATAGAGGCCCCAGGAGGGGAAGAAAATTGACCAAAGTCACAAAGATAGCAAGCATCAGAGTTGGGGCTCCAATTCATGTTTCTCAGCGCCAGCTCTAAACACTCTTTATGTGATGCCATAAGGGCAGCTAGGTGACACAACAGATAGAGCACCAGGCCTGGAGTCAAAAGGACCTGAGTTCAAATGTGACCTCAGACACTTACTAGCTGTGTAACCCTGGGCAAGTCAGTAAGCCCTGTTTGACTCAGTTTCCACATCTGTTAAATAAGCTAGAGAAACAAATGGCAAACCGCTCTAGTATCTTCACCAAAAAAACTCCCGATGGGGTCATGAAGAGTCACACATGACTGAAAAATGACTTAAAATGATGCTGTAAGAAGTACTACCAATTATTTATGTTCAACCAATCAAATATAGCTTCATTCTTCTCATTTCACTGGAGACAGTGGGATTATAAATGCAGAGATGCAAGGGGCCTTAGAGGACATGTTGTCCAACCACTATCTTACAGATGAAGAAACTGAGGTTCAGGAGAGCAAGGTTTTGTATCCAGGTTAACTGATGCATAATTACCTTAATGGAACATTTTCTTGGATAATTCTCTTAATTTTTGTATAAAATTTGATTACAAAAAATGCCATCCAAAGATGAAGCATGAAATTATACATAAACGTGTAAAATAATGAATTAAGAAAATTGTGGGATTAAAAAAGCAATAGTATTTCAACTCCATATTGTGGATTGAGAGTGACTCTGAGGCATTATAAGCTATACTAGAGATACCAGAGATGCAAAAGTTTTAAAACCTGCTGCAAAGCTCAAAAAAATTGACTGTAAGTCTGATGATGGACTGCTGTTTCTCTACCATTTGCTGAACTACTGGTGAAAAGCTCATGATCAGAAGTTGAAGCCTAAGTCAGTAGAGGGAATTTCCACTCCACTGATGAAATGATGTATCTTTTAAAGTGTCAATGAAGAGGCATGACTGGCAAAGTGGGAAGAATGAAGCTATGTCTCATTAGAGCCAAAAACCTTTAAAGAAAATGAATTCTGCAGAAACTACTGGAAATGCTTATTATGGCATAGTAAAAACAATGCTATAGATCACATAATATCACAAGGTAACATTTTACTATTTGTGAGCTAAAAGCATAAACAAGTAGCTTGTGAAGCACTTCTTTCGCTCTCCTACCCAAAGTAAAAACAAATCTCTTCTACACTGTCTCTAATAGGCAGATAGTCATCTAGCCTTTGTTACAGAAGTAGAGTTTAGCAGAGAGGCAGGGTGATGAGGAAGATAGGGTGCTGGAATATAGTCAGGCCAGACCTGGCTTCAAATCCCATCTCTGAAATTCAAGCACATGACTTAACCATACTGACTCTCTTTCCCCATTTGTAAAATGGGCAAAATAAATAAGACTTGTCACACATACTTGACAATCATTACTCTGAGCATATATACATTGTATGTAAAGTACCTTGCAAACTTTAAAGTGCTATATAAATGTCTGCTATTGTTATTAACAAGGTAGTTTATTTTATTGTTGCATAGGAATGGTTCCTATATATGTATTTTCTGACCATCCACCTGAGTTCTGCTAGGACTACCTGCTGGGTTGTAAGTCCCTTGAGAACAGAGACCATATCCACTTAATTTTTTGTATCTCCCACAATACCTCTGGTAGTGCTTTGCCCACAGTAGGCATTCAATAATTGTTTGTAATTTGATTGCTTGTATCGGTTATAATTAATAATTAGTATGATATACTATGTATTGTCAATCAATCAATAATTATTTATATTTATAAGTACTTACTATGTGCCAAGCACAGTGCTAAGCTCTAGGAGTACCAAGAAAAAGGAAAAACAGTCCTTGCTCTCAGAGAGCTTATATTCTAATGGGAGAGACAACACGTACATATATAGGTATATACAAGGTTCATACAGAGTAGATGGAAGGTTGTTGTTGTTTGTCCTTCATTCTCAAAGAGGACCATGACATCAGGAAAGTGATATCATGACTTTCAAGTGAATTGGATTTTAGTGACGCAGGGCTATGCAAAGTTACCAGCCTCACTCTCTCCTCCACAGCCATCTGGGTCCAGTGGCAATATATAGATTAGGATGACTGGAGATGGCCCCGGATGCAGTGGGACACCTTGGTCTTTTTAAGCTAAGGTCTTTCCCAGATCTCAGTTTGTCTGAGGCAATGCCTATTCAGTGATTAAGGCTAGGTAAAAATGAGGCAAAGAATGGCCTCTTTGATCTAGTCAAAAAAAAAAAATCAATCTGGGAGGGGAACGCCTTCAGGGTTTCTAGCCAAAACAGAAGCAATTGCTATTTACACTCACTGTGAGCCACCAGAACCCAAACAATGACCCGGTAAGGCTTGGGCTGCAACCTATTGAGAGCCAGAGTGATTTGGGTTTAAGGCATGGTCCATAAAAAAAAGAAATCTAGCTTGTAAACCTCAAAATATCTTGCTAGGTTTCAGTGTTCAGGATGGAAGGTAACCTTAAAGGGGAAAGCATTATGAGATGTTTCTTCCTTAAAAACAATAATTATTTAAACAAGTTTAATCAGTCGATATTACATATGCCACAAAGATGTCATTGCTAAGGATAAAATAAATGGGTGTAAGAATATCCTAGTCTTAGTGTAAGGACCACATGTTAGCTAACAGCAGTTTTGTTTTTTCTGAAATAAGACCCAGAGAGGACAGGCAGAGATCAATGATTGATGATGACCTCTTTTTCATCTCCCATAACTTGCTTCATATCTCTCTAGTATTATTTTGTACAATGATTTTCTGTGTTTGTGTCTTTTCCCTTTACCAGGTTATAAACCCCACGAGTGGATAACAGGTGGCAAAGTGGATAGAGCACTGGGACTGGAGTCAGGAAGACTCATCTTCCTGAGTTCAAATCTGGCCTCAGACACATACTAGCTGTGTGACCCTGGGCAAGTCACTTAACCCTGTTTGCCTTAGTTTCCTCATCTGTAAAATGAACTGGAGAAGGAAATGGCAAACCACTCCAGTATCTTTGACAAGAAAACCTCAAATGGGGTCATGAAGAGACAGACGTGACTGAAACAACTGAACTACAACAACAAAGTCCATAAGGGCAAGAACTGTATTTTATTTAAATTTTTCTCTCTCCCCCACCTTCCCTTGCCCCCAGGCCTTACCCAGTGCTCTGCACACAGTAGATATCTAATTTAATAAAGTGTTCACTGAATGAAAACTGAAGGAAGGCCCCCAGCATATTGGATGTACCCTATGTAATGGCAAGCTTGTTGGACTCTAAGGACAAGAGGTGAACGGGATGGGCAAGGCATAAGTGGGCTGAATTCTGTCTCACTAGAAGGAATACCTCCATTAATGAAGCCTTGGAGCCAATGGAGTTCTTGAATAATGTTGAATGAATTACTACAGAATTCTGATTTATTTCACCAGTATTTTCCAGGCACACTTAATAAATACACTAATAGAAATGTTTAATAATTCTATTTTATTCAAATCTAATTTATGAAAAGATCATACTTTTAAAAATTATCAGTGACATTCATCAGTGACATGTAAATGTAAAAATGACAATTTCAAAAGAACATGTCACATGTTCATACTCCATATACAAAACCAACACAACTCTCTTAGTGTGCAAATTATTCTTTAGGAGTAAACTTAGAGTTCTGCAATATGAAATTACTCTTTCAACAGTGGTATTATATTATTGAGTCTTCTAGAGACCCTAAGCACAAGTAGCAAGGACAGGATATATTTTATTGTGACAAATGTGTTGGAACAGGCGGCCTGCATTTCAGTCCCAGATTTTCCAGTAACTAGCTGTGTGCCCTTGGGCCAATGTCTTTACCTCTTCCCTATCTGAAGCTCAGTTTCTTTATGTGAAAAATGATGGGCTGGGACAAAATGATCCTTCTAGTTCTAACCTGCTCTGTTTAGGAAAATAGAACCACAGATTTTGAGCTGGTCTCAGAAGTCATCTAGTCCAGGTGCCCAATTCGGCTGATGAGGAAACTAAGACCTAGGACCCAAGGTAATGAAGCTAGTTACAAAGCAGGGATTTGAACTGAGGTCATCTGATTCCTAATCAAATGGTCTTCCCAAGGCATCATGCTGCCTTTCATTATGTGACAAATCAAAAACCCAAGAGACAGAGTTTCTGGGTATATTATAATCAATTTTTAATTAGACTAGCTAATAATCAACAAATTGATGGCCAGTGGCTTCTCCCTGCAACCAAAACAAAAGACATGGAGAGCGTGAAAACTTTAAATAATCCTTGAAAGGGGAATTCTCTTAACAATTGAAAATCAATCCTGATTGGTGGATATTTAATGAGGAAATGGGCAAGATTACAGGGCTTCTTCAACTTTTTCTACTAATGACCCCTTCAACACTTCTTAAACTAGTGGTAAGTTTAGGAAGCACTGGAAATCTTCAGCTCCTTCTGCTGATAATGTGGCTTGATCATGAGACTCAGATGCCTCCAGCAATCTGGACAGGGGAATCTATCATACTCAGATGATGCTAGTTGGTTTTCTCCTTCATGAGCTGGGTCACCCTAAACTCTAATGGAGGGATACAAGGATAGGGGCTCATTTCCTCAGAGTAAGAACTAGTCCAGATAGCATTCTATTTACATGCCAAATAGAAGTAAGGTCTCCTACTTGCTCAAGATT